AAGCGAACTTTATTTCTTCGAAACAAACATAACTAAACTGTGCAACTATAAACATGTAAACCTCTTTGAATCGAAAATAAATAATGAAATGTACACTGATGGCTCAGAGTTACTTAATAACGAATGGGTTTGTGTTTGATTGAAACCATTTTGAATCGAAAATAAATAATGAGAATGAAATGTAATCTCTGAGTCGCATTGTTGCGAATGGATTTGCTTTTCATTGGCCGTGGAAGCTCCACATTTTCATCGACGAGCACAACTTCATCCGTTTCATCTTCATTTTCTTCGTCGCTTTCATCCAGAATTGCTTGAATTATGTCGATGTCATCGTCATCTAATTGAGCAATGTTTGCTTGATTGTTGTTCGGTGTTGCGAACTGACCGTACGCCAAACCCTTTTCCAACGAATCTATTGAATATCATTTCCAATTGTGAGTAAACGAAAATCAAATACATATAATCGAAGTTAATTCATTACCGAAGCTTCGAATGATGTAAACATCATAGCAAGCTGGCCGCGCCATATCCAAGAAACTAACGACGTCCAAATGAAAGTTCGGCTCCTCGCCAATGTTAGAAATGAACACCCTGAATAACTTTTTCGCAACAAATCTTACACCGTAGTTCAAAAGTGTTCCCACATCCAAATCCAAAATCCATTTTTGTGGGATAATGACTTTTTGGCCAGTCTCTTTCAATGACACCAAGAAATACATGACTGTTATGATTTCTGTGTTTACTGTGATTTTGTTTACTCTCTGTGATGTTGTGTATGCAACGTTCACCGCCAAACTGACAGCTAGTCTCAGCCACTTGTCACTTGCGTGGGACAGTGACACTTTCAAGCGACATCGAATTTATGATTAACAGTAACAGTTTGTGAACTCTGTACGTTGGACGTGTTCTTAGAAATGGCCATCACTATAGACGATGTTATAGCAAGTAAATTTCAATTTGTTATTCAGTGCTTTGTGATTGAAACAGACGAGCATGGAAAAAGAAATCATATTTGCCAAATCGATGGTTGTGTAAATAAATATGCCAGTGCTTCAGCAGCTATTCGTCACGTTCGTCAAAATCATATCAATGTGTACAAAACAATTCAGGCGAATAAGGAAACTCAAACCGAATGTTTGCAAAACAAATTGTTTGAAATTCGTGTCAAAGTTAATCCAGAAGATATTTGGAATGCTTGCGCGATTTAGTCACCGTTAATGCATTACCGCTATCGATTGTGGAATACCCTGCATTTAAAACAATTTTGAAGCCGTATGTCATTGCGCTGCAACGTCAAGGAATCGATTTGATTGTGAACCGACAAAATATCAAAACGAAAATTGAACAAAGAGCTCAATCAATCAAAAACCGTATCGTATGCGAATCCAAGAATAAAATGGTGTGCATTATGTTGGACATAGCCAGCCGATATAATCGGTCTGTTTTGGGTGTAAATATTTCATATTTCCACGAAGGGAAAATTCGCATAATGACGATTGGAATGCATGTTCTTCGGTTTTCTCAGACTGCACAGAACCTCAAAGAGTTGATAATGAAAAATTTACAAGATTTTAACATTCGCTTAGAGCAAATAATTGCAATTACAACTGACAGTGGTAAAAACATGCTTAAATCAATCGCTTGTTTGAATGCTGAGCTACAGAACACACAAACATTCGCAGGTGACACAGACGCAGATGATGAATTCATTGACCATGACATTTTTGATGATAAATATTATAATGATCCTCTAAAGGCGGTGCAGTCTATGTTTAAAGAAATTAATCACACGAATCTCATTCATGGCATTCCTTGTGCTGCACACTGCCTACATTTGGTAGTGACGAAAGCAATGCAAAAATCACCTGATACGCTGAAATTGATTGAAAAGTGCCGGGACTTGGCCAAAAAATTACGATGTCCAACATTCCGAGAAATGCTTAGATCAGCTGGTGAATGTGTGGCAATATTGGATGTGAAAACCAGATGGAATTCCATATACTCGATGGTAAATACAAAAATTATTTCAATATTTGAATAATGTTTCTTAATTAATTTTTTTCATTACAGTTGAATCGCCTGGTTAGCTTGCAATCATTCTGCGACTCAGTTTTAGTAAAAAGCCATAAACAAATTCGAGGATTCCTATTATCAGAAAGTGAATGGGACGAAGTCAATAAATTGGTTCATATTTTGAAGCCATTCGATAAGTACACCAAGGCTTTGCAATCTGAACGTGTGACACTCTCTGACTTTTTTGGATATTGGACGATGTTGCGTATCAAACTGGCCAAGGCGGGAGATATCTTTTCAAAGAATTTACTACTGGAAACGAATCAAAGCCATCAGCTACTGATGGAAAAACTAAATAAACTTGTATTTAAGAATGCAAAAAGTTGAGAATCACACCGACGAACAAGAAATGGTTGAAGTTGAAGTGGAGGTTGATAATATGGATAATATCAGCGAATATGACTCACTCGATGACATGAATCTCTATTAAGATGCGTGCAGTTCTGTCGACCCCCAAGTTAGAGTACATCAAAACAACAACAACAACAAAGACAACGAGGAATTCATAACGCAATTGTTGATGCAATTTGATGGAAGCTGTGAGCCTTTGATAAAAAAAGATATGGGACATTTGGGAAAACAAACAACGAAGCAATCCTGAGCTTTACCACCTAGCTACAACGGTGTATTCGATTCCTCCGACTCAAACAACAGTCGAACGAGGGTTTTCAATATTAGCCATCGTTCTAAATTCACATCGCACACGTATTGGTGATACTACAATGCAGAATATTTTGCTTGTGTGGCTCAACCGGGATCTGATTGACGAAAAAATCGATGAAGAAATTGAAACCAATTTAGGAATTTAAACTTGACTCACGCAATTAGCTAGTTCAATAAATAAAACTCAACCTTCAATAACAATTTCATAACAAGAGATTGAAGTTTCATACGTTTGCTTGAACACAAATAAAATATGATAAATTTATTCAATTTTATAACTTTTATCAAGGTTAGCATTCTAATTCCGAAGGAAATCTTGACTTTCCACTACGTCTTTCTTTTTTCAATATAAACACAAGAAAACCCATTTCAATTTAAAATTTTCAAATCTTGTACGACATCAAAATGAATGCATTAAACGAACTCATTATGACAGCTTGAACAAATGTCAGACTATGATTGCATGCATTAGAATTGGTGGTATATTTTGTTGTCTATGCGACGGTATATACATTGCCGGTATTTTATACTGTATTCCTTTCAACACTGGTTGTGACGAGGCGTGTCGCATCGCTACGACGCCGGCCTCCGATACTTCGATGACAGCCAACATTTGATGATCGGATTCACGGACCAATGCTACCGCGTGCTTGTGTCCCAAACGACCAAAGAATTCGAGTTCGGTGGCCTGTTTTCCGAATATCGTGGCCGATTTGTGGTTTCCGTAGACTGTACCATCGACGGGCTGGTGCCAGGTCGACATGCCGCTCAACACGGTGAACTGACGGTCTGGCTCATTGATACGAAGCCGGAACAACGGTGTTAATGCCACTTGGAGGTACGCCATTTCAATTTGGTCTGTTTGATCGCAGCCCGAGCAAAAAACGAAAGAAAAGAGAAACAAAAAAAATACGATCAAATAAATTCACGTGTTTCAATTGTTCTGGTCGGTAAAGCTGATTGGATTTAAAGTTGACTCAAATTGTTACTGTCAATCAAATTATCTGTCTCTCGCATTGCTCAAGTTATTGCCTTTCATATGGTTGTCTGGTCGGTTGAAAGGCAGAAATTTCGTCGAAATCGTATACTTGGTTGTCAACTAATTGCTTGGTCTGTGTGGAATGTATCGCAATGTGAAAGCTGGGTTGACTTTGCTGGGCTTGCATAAATGGCATCGTCCGAACCGTGCGCGTCAACATTGCAAAGCACACAAAAAAAATAACCCGTTGGATTGTATTCACGAATGAATTGGTGCAGTACATGGAATGGTGGACAACGCAGCTATTTATTCGGAATGAAACGATCGAGCGACGAAACATGCAATGTTTTGGTTGAAACTCATGTCAATAACACGTGAACTCGGACGAGAAAAAAATAATTCTCCTGGTTGTGAAATTCAATGCATGAACTGTACTGGGTATGCAAATCAACGACGCAGATTTGTGTATTTTGCGAATTGAGTTCGTGGAATTCAATTACAATATGGCGGACTGATTCTTTTCTTTTCACACGACCAACAACGACGACGAATTTGATGCAAATACTCACTGTTTCCCTGGTCGCAATTTTCCTCCTTTTCGTTTTTTGCTAAATTTGGCAATAATTTGATGGCCTGGCGTTGTTGTTAATTTTATTTCCTTCGATCGATTTGCTTTGTCTTCTCTATTTTGTTGTTTTTTTCTTTGTTTTATTTTCACGGCGGTGAGTCGACGAGTTGTACGTGCGTTAGCTTCAGTGGCTTGAACGAAAAAAGCGAGCATCTCTGTTTGAAACGGTCGCGTCGGCGAATTCTGTAGCGTGTGTTGGTGTGCGTGCGTTCGTTTGTTTGTGGCCGTATCTTAGCTGTTTTCCGCGGCATCTATGTATGGTTTGTTGTGATTTTGATTGTTTGATTCGCTAAATCGTTTATGCAGTTTGAGTTATTGAGCGAAATAGTGGCATGAAATACGGAGTTGTTGTTCTTTCGTTATTTTTTTTATCAGTTTTTATAATTCGATATTTTGAAATTCTTTTATTGAAATTTCGGAGTATTTGGTCGACGTTGAACGATGGATAGGCGTCAGGTATCGTTAACTTATTTAGACCGCGTGCATCCAAACAAATTCTTCCGCCGCCGGTCTTCTTTTTAACCCACAATATGGGCCAACGCCAAGGGCTCTTATCAAGTGGTTCGATGATATCTCTGGCCAACAAGTTAGAGATTTCCGCACGCACCTCTTCCAACACATAAGGTGAAAGCGGGTATTGATCTCGTTTGACTGGTATGGCACCTGGAATTAAAGCGATCTGCTGAACATATGAGTTGGTTTTGTTGAGTGGACCGGTTTGAGGCGTGTATGGAAATTTATCTACCACCGCCTTTAATTGTGCTTTTTGCTCTGGACTGAGATCATGTGGTTGTGTAACAGTTTCCCGTCTTGGCGTTATCACATCGTTTTCGGTGTCATCATTTCCACTGGCGGTTTGTATGTGATCGGGTTGATTGCCGCTTAATTCAGTGGCCATGATTTCGAATTTCTCGGTTCGAAGCCGTTCGCGTCGGCTTTTGCCGGGGTGTTCGTCTCTTTTCGGTTTGGTTCGAGGCCCCAAAACAATTTCCATGAGGTCACAGATTGGAGCTGACTCGTATGTACCCGTTTCGAATATGTCTTTTTGGTATGTGTTCACGGTGAAACGAAATGAATTGTGTTCACTCCAGAGACGTTGAAGCGTTGGAGTTGGATCGACGTATTTGATCGGTTTTTGATTTGGCTTGCCTGCCGGCTGAGTCAAACTAAGTAGCTCGACTGCATCGCAATTGTTTTCCAACTCGATCTCAATAGCAGCCACATCTATACCTGACAGGGCCGCAGCACTACTGTCGGTCGCTTGGCTACCGATTCCTAAATCACAAACTGAAAGCTTGGATTTCACTTTGGTCGGACTAGCATTCGTGAGCGGATTCAACTTCGGTAGCTGAATCTTTTCCGAGATCAATGGGCTGGATTTACCAGAGCCAATTTCCAACGTGCTTGTAGAATTTTCGATGTTTGCTTCGGCTGCCGTAACACGGTGTGAACTGTTACTATTTGCTGAATTTGGTGGATTGCAAACACATTCGTTTCGGTCGAGGTATGCTCTCTTTTCTCTTTGGACATTTGGATCCATTTCGATCAATGGTGACAAATCTTTATACGGATTAGAGTCGTGTATTGGGCAAACGTATATGGACTTATCGCATGGAGTCGTATGGTCTGGTACCAGTGCAACGCTAGTGGCCAACACATCTCGAGGTTGAGATTTGTTCGGGTGTTTGCTGTAAAAGCCTGGGTCGACTCTTAAAGCCACATCGAATGCGCGACAAAAGCTCATGCCTGCGATGAATTGCGGTCTGCTTGCTTTAATCAATAATGTAGGAATGACTCGAATTTGCTCTCCAAACTCGAAAGTTAAATCAACAATACCTGTGGTCGGTGTCCGCATCGTGTGTACCGTTTTAATGACGATGTTTGTAGGTTTGATTGTTGCGCCGTATAAAGCTAAAATCTCATCCAGGTCTGTATATGCGATTACGCAGACAACTGAGCCTGTGTCTATAAGCCATTCATTTTTACATTGGTTGACCGTCAATTTAGCATACGGTCTAGGATCATTTGGTCTATCAAAGAAGGGAGTTTCATTGATGTATAGTGAATTAATGTTTATTTCTTGAATCTCAGAAAATGCTGGACTGTTTTCGGTGCATTCAGTAGTACGTTCTCTCTTTTCTTTGGTTTTATTCTCTGTGGGGGTGGCCGGTGCAACGGATGGAATTTGTTGGATGGCTGTGTTGTTTTCCGATGAGCCACTTATTTCGCCGGGGCCTGGCTCGTGGCCGTTGCCGAGGCTGGCGATGCGTTTTTTGACAATTTGACTTGGCAGTCTGTGCAATTTGCAAAGTATACGTTGGCTGCGCCGCAGCCAAAACAGTAAACGTCTCGCTTTGGTCTGTCACTATCCTTCACCTGTTTGGTCTGGCAATTTTTGCAATTGGCATAGTAAACATCTGGGGCATTGCATCCGAAGCATTGAAATTTTGATTTTTGTCCATTCGATTACGAAATGCCAACGGGCTTTCCTTTGCTTTTGGTTGCACCGTCGAACAGTGGCTTGGTTTCCTTTGCCACACCTGGCTTCGATGGCCGTTTGAATTTTAACCCGGCCAACGATTTTTGAAATGCCGCTGTTATAGTTTGTATGTCGAATGGGATGCTCTCTCCTTCCTCTTCGGATGATGACTCTGTTTCTTCTCGGGTGACTTCACAGGAAAACACCGATTTCTCACGAGTTGATCGTTTTTCGTGTCGTTCATGTGTGGGTCGTGGCCTGTCTTGTGATAGGAATGCGACATGTCGAGTAAAATCTGTGATATCCGCGTAGTAACGGCTTCGTAAGAGTCTGGCATCTTCTGGTGATGCACAACTAATGATAGTTGAAATTCGCTGTTGATCGTTGAAATGATGTGGCAGATGATCCATCAGCTGTTGCATGGAATCAACGAAATCGGGGAGCGTTTCGTGCTTTTGTTGGCGGCGGCCATAAATGGCCGACATGAGTCCTTCGACACTGCCTGCATACGTGGCGAAACGCACTTTTAGGCTTTGAGCCAAGTGATTGAAAGGCGAGATTTTTAATCATGGTTTGCTCGGAACAAATGCCACTCTCCACGCACAACTTGAGGCTGCTCAGAAATTCGTCAATGGAAAAATGCTTCGTATCCACTATCTCTCCTTCAAATGTCTTCGCGCC